CCCCAGCAGGTGCCCCCCACCCGCCGTTCCCTCGAGCTCACTGATGCTAGACCTGCCCCGGGGCAGGGCCCACGTGTTCCCACCAGGCCTCATGGCACTGCAGCTCAGCTACGCTGGACCCCTGGGGATGCCGGCTGGTCCGCGCTGTCTGGGGTGGCGGGCCTGCAGCGTGGCCTCCAGGGGTGCCCATGGCCATGGTGCCCACTTGGGTTCCAGCTGTGCAGGCCACTCCGTGTCTGCTGTGACCCTCCAGGTCCTCACTTTGCAGCGGGATTGTGACCATAACAACCGACAGGTAGTGCCTGGCTTGCTGACGCCCAGGCCTTCCAGAGGCTACGCTCACCCCCAGGCACTTGCCCCCCACCACAGGGAAAGGCGGCGGAGCCAAGACCCCTGCCTGGGGCCCGGGAGGGATGGGGTCTCCCAGGCACCCTGCAGGATCACAGGTCGTCAACCCTGGTACAACTTCTCGGGCTCTGTGGGGCTCCACCGGTGAGGGGAGCCCTGGGCCCACAGCCTGGCCCTCGATCGTAGGGCTTCGGTGGAGACCCCAGTGGTGAGAACACAGCCCCATTCTGAGATGTTGCCCAGGCCTCCCACGGTGTGATAACCCTGCCCACACCCAGAGCCTGGACATTAGATAAAGACCGGACTTAGGATTCCCATCACGAGTTCCCACCTTGCTTTTCCCAGGGCACCTTTTATTTTATTTACTTATTTTTAAATATTTATGTATTTAATTAATTAAATTGGGGGGGTGCTGCGTCGGGTCTTAGTTGAGGCATGCGGGATCTTTCGTCGTGATGCTCGTGCTTCTCTCTAGTTGTGGCATGCAGGGTTTTCTCTCTCTAGTTGTGGCGCGTGGGCTCTGTACTTTGCGGCACACAGCCTCTCTCGTGGCACGCGGGCTTAGTTGTTCTGCGGCATGTGGGATCTTAGTTCCCCAACCAGGGATCAAACCCACGTCCCCTGCATTGGAAGGCGGATTCTTTACCACTGGACCCCCAGGGAAGTCCCTCCCGGGGCACCTTTTTTTAATTAATTAATTAATTAATTAATCTCTCTAACATCACCTCTATATCACAACAACGCTAGCTGAATGAAATATCACAAAGTAAACCCCAAAGGCCTCTCAAAAATCATATTTACACAATATTTTACAATATATGGAAATGCTTACTCTACGGTAAGTTTTTAAATACTAAATTTGATCCGATGTCATATGCAAAAAAGTATGCATAGAAAAAAATTTTTAACATATGTATATATGTGCATGGACAAAAAACAGAAGAAAATACACCGAAATGCTAGCAGTGGTTGGGTGGTGGGATGCCGCCAGGCAGGCGGGCAGCCTCTATCTGGGAGCTGCATGGAGGGGACCCTGTCACATTCTGTCCTGGATTTCTCTGCACAATCTGAGTGTTCTACCATGAGCATGCATTCTAACAGCAGAAATTCTTTTCAAAAATCACTGAAGATGTGGGAATTCCCTGGCGGTCCAGTGGTTAGGACTCCTTGCTTTCACTGCCCGGGGCCCAGGTTTAGTCCCTGGTCGGGGAACTAAGATCCCTCAAGCTGCACAGTGCGACCAAAAAAAAAAAAAAAAAAAAAAAAAAAAATCACTGAAGATAGAAATCTTTTATGTTCACCTCTGCCTTGGTTGGGATGGTTACATGTGTGTTGACATTGGTCATGACCCCTCAAACCACACACTTAAAGTCGGTGCATTTATTATGTCAATTATGTCTCAATTTTAAACTGTAGCAGGACAAAACCAGTCGCTGTGGAGCAGGGCTGCTCCGCATCCACTCACTTCTGGAGCAGAAGCCTTCCCCACCCGTACCTGTTTCCACTCTATCCCAACTTCAGGAAGCATCCTTGTTCTGAATAGGATTCGGGGTAACTTAGGAAACTGCTCTCAATACAGTATTTTAAAGTTGAAGAAATTGACAGGAAAGGAAATCAGTGGGAATATCGAGGTAGTAATGGGAAAAGTCAGCACACAAAGGAGGCACAGTCATGTCACCATGGCCAAAGTGGGGGCAGAGCGGGGACCTTGTGGCCACAGGCCGTCACAGGGCTGTGTGTCCCTTTCAGACTCCAGGCACAGGGTCACAGTACCTTGGGGACGAGCAGCCCACCTTCTCTGTCCTCCCCGACAGGTGTCTGGGCTGCAGAGATTCTGGCCCCTGAGCTCTCCCGAGTCGGAAGTTCACTGGACCCCTGGGTGGGCATGGCGGGGGCAGTACTGGCATGAGTGGGGTTTTCCTTAGACAAGGTTCATGGAATGAAGAAAGTGAACAAACGAACCAAGGTGCTTTGCCCCAGACACGTGGGCCTTGTCCCAGGCAGAGCCATTGCCTTTGAGAAGCCATCAAGGCCACCTGCCAACAGCCAAGAGCTGAGTTTCCTGGCTGCTCTGGTCCTCTCCAGGCCTCCCCGCTCATTCCGGGCACTTTTAAAAAGACCACTTAGAGCTGAGCCTGTGAAAGTTAGTGACCTCTGCCCCAACAGCCTTATAAGTACTAGATGCTCAACTGTGACCTGGGACAGACAACCCTGCGCGCCAGCCGCCCCTTGTTTCCGGGGTCTGTAGGCAATAAACCTTGTGACTTGACTTCCTTTGTGGGAGTGTGTGTTGAAACTGCGCCTGCAATCGAAATGGTCCTGGGGATTTCCCTTCCCCAAAGCGGGAGGTCAATGCTGAGGGGCCGGGGTGGCCCCTCCTCCAACAGACAGTGCTCTGAATATTCTTAATATACCAGTTCCTGGCTTTCCAGCTGGAACTCCAGAAAAGAACCTTCTCTGAGAAGCAGGTCTGGGCAAGTAGGGAGGGGGTCCGGGGAGGGCTGCTCCCTTCTCAGGGGACCCCAAGTCCCTCCATGGCTGTCTCCTCGCTTCTCTTTCCAGGGAAACGCTTCCCGGTGTCTTAAATTGGAAACGAGCCTGATTGACATGGAATATTCCACCTGACACAACAGAAAGCACATTCTTTTTAAGTGCACGTGGACCGTTCACAAAGATGGGCCACACTCCAGTCGCAAAACAAAAGGAAACATGTTTAAGACAGTAAAAATCATACAAAGTATGTTACATACATGGAACACATGGAATTAAACTAAAAATCAGCAACAGAGAGATAGCTATCTGAAAAATTCCAAATATTTACAAATTAAGACATACTTCTAACTAACTCATGAATGACAGAGGAGGCCACAAGAAATCAGGAAATATTTAAAATAGAATACAGATGAAAACAAAACCTATCAAAAATTGTGAAATGTAGCTAAAGCATGTCTTAGATGGACTTTTATGCATTTAATGTTTGTATTAGTGAAAAGGAAGCTCAAAGCAAATAGAAAGAAGCAAATAATAAAGAGCATAAATAAACAAAAATTTAAACAAAACAAACAACAAAACCCAAAATCCAATGGAGATTGTCAATGAAAAAGAAAACTGGCTCTTTGAAGAGATTAAAAATAAAACTGACAAATCTCCAGTGGACCATGAAAAAAAGAGCAAAGACATGAATGATTAATATCAAGATTAAAAAGGGACATAACTACAAATCCTACAGACATTAAAAGGATAGTAAGGGAATATTATGAGCTGCTTTATGCTAATACATTTGATAATTTAGATTAAGTAGACAAATGTCTTGAAGGAAACAAGTTAACAAAGTTTGTTCAAGAAGAAATTGAAAACTTGAACGGTCCTATGTTGATTCTAGAAAACTAAAACTCAAAAACTTTTCCGCAAAGTTCAGGTTCAGGTGGTTTCACTGGTGAGTTCTATCAGATATTTAAAGAAAAAACAATATTGATCTTACATAAATTCTTTCAGGAAATAAAGAAGGAGGGGACACTTCTCAACTCATTTTATGGGGCTAGTATTTATGAACCAAAGATATCATAAGTAAAGCAAATCACAGAGCAATTCTTCTCAAGAAAACAGGTGCAAAAATCCATAACAAAATATTAGCAAGTCAAATCCAACAATACATACACAGGCTAATACCAAGTGAGGTTTACCCCAAGAATGCCAGATTGGTATAACATATGAAAGTCAATCAGTGTAATTCCCCATGTTCATAAAATAAAGGAGAAAAACAAATGATCATATTATATGCAGAAAAAGTGTTTGAAAAAAATCACAACACTTTAATGATTAAAAACTCTCAGAGAGCTAGGAAAAAAAGAGAACATCTTCAAACTTATTGGGGACATTTACAAAATTCTGAAGCTATCATCACACTCAGAGATTAAAGCCTATCCCAAGATCAGGTAGGAGAGTAGTCTGTGTGCTCTCACCACTTCTGTTTAGCATTGTACTAGAGGCCCTTGCCAGTGCAATAAGACAAGTAAAAGAAATGAAAGATGTTCAGGTTGGAAAGATCTGAATGGTATATTTTATAAAGATGTCTATATTTGCAGATGATATATTTATGTATGGCAATAACCCTAAGGAACCTACAAAATATCTACTAGAAAGAATAAATGAATGTATCAACATTGCAGGATATAAGGCAATGTACAAAAACCAATGGCATTTCTATATAGTATAAATGCATAATTAGAAACGAAATTAAAGAAAACAGCTCAATTTACAATAGCATCATAAATAAAGTACTTAGGAATAGATTTAACAAAAGTCATATGAGATGTGTACAGTATAAAACTACAAAACAGTACAAAGCAAAACATAAGGGCTGAAGTAAATGGAAAACTATACCATGCTCATGGTGGAGGATTTAATATTGGGAGCATGGCTGCCCTTCCCAAATTTATCTAAAGATTCACTGCAATACCAATCAAATCCCTAATAGGCTTTGTCGAAGAAATTGACAAGATGATTTAAAATTCATATGGAAAGGCAATCTGGTATAGTCAAAACAAAGTTGGGGGGCTAGCATTACCTGATTGCAGGAAAATGTTATATAAATACAGTTTTATATTATTTATTATTTATATTATGTTAATTATATTATTATAAAGATACAGCCTATATAGTTAATAGTGTTCTATTGGCATAAAGATAGACATACAGATCAATGCAGCAAGACAGAGAGTCCCAGAATACACAAAGGTGATTAATTGGATAAAGGTAGTCTTTTTTTTTAACAAATAATGCTGAATGTCTATCTGTGTGGAAAAGAAATGAACCTTGACCCTTAGCCAACACCATATACAAATATAACCTAAGCGCAAGAGCAGGAAGTATTAAATTTATAGAAGAAAAATACAGAAGAAAATATTTATGACATTGGAATAGGCAAAGATTTCTCGAACCAGACATAAAGAACACAAAATATAGAAGAAAAAAACAATCAAATAGACTTTATTAAGATTAAAAACTTCTGCTTTTTGAAAGACATGGTTACCAGATTTTTGCAAAACATATGTCTGAAAAGGAACTTACATCCAGAATATATTAAAAAAACTCTTACAACTCAATAAAAATAAGTTAACTCATTAAAAATAGGCAAAAGATTT